TTTGGAGCGTTATAATCTCCCAGCTATTTTAGTCTCCTTTCTTATCCTCCAGCAGCATTTGCTTTTGAATCAAGAAAAGCATTTATATTTACAGGTTGAAGCTCAAAAGGTGAGGATATATTAGTATTAGCAAACACAGGTTTGTGGGGAAGTAGTTGGTATTTTGAGAAGGGTGCACATTTTGAGATAATTAGTATGAAAGCCTTTGCTGTTTCTAGTTCTCCACTTATACAATGGCCATCTTACTGCAGACAGCTATACAAAAATCACAGATGAGCATGACATGAATCTGCAAACATAATATACAAACAACACTAGTTCATAGAAGCAAGAAAAGCAGGAAGGCATTTATTACCCTGAGAAAGGACTTGTCAAAACACGCAGATTAGGATACCTGGAGATCCATCCAGTTCTCTCCCCTCCCCTCCCTACTGCAACGGTTTGTGGCAATATATTAGGTACAAGCCCCACTGAGGGGAAGAAGGTACATTCAGGATGCCAGCTGTGTGGGATCTCATAGCCCTGCAGTTGTCCCATTCTAGCTCAGATGGGCACACAGCTAACTTCACCTCCCCAGCCACCAGTGGTTTGATGGTCTCCAGGCTTTTGTGCGATCCCCACCACTTTCTAGCTCTATGAGGTGAAGTGCCTCTCCTAAGACAGAATTACTGGCAACAAGCTACACTATGATTTCAAGCCTATTTTTAGTTCCACCCTTTGTGTCTTTGGACCTCCCCATCACTGAAAACCTCTGAAATCGAATGCTGGGCCATGGGCTAAAGGCATGTCCTTACCCCTGATATATGCAGTGTGGCACAGCCCAAAATTTGGGTCTCTGTTATGACTGTATGTGAACCAAAGTTTATGTAAATACATCAGTGTATATGTACAGCCTCGGCTAGGCAATCCATGCTCCTCTTCCTCATTACTCAGTCAACCTCTTAGAGCAATAAACTGTTGGAATAAGAAGAACCTACTTTGGTGCAAATAAATACCTTCCAAAAATGGTTGAAAATTCAAAATAAGATTAGTCAAGTCTCATGCAGGATTGCATCTCCACTTTATAATTAGAACACATTTTATCACAGAGCTGTGATTGTGGGGAGAAGTCTCAATAGTATACTAAAGTGTGGGATGGATGTGCTGCTGAGAGGATATAGTGTGTGTGTGTATACATGTGTGTGACAGCAAGGTAGGTTGTGTCAGAAAACAACGTATTTGGTTAACATTTGCAAAACGGCTGCTATTGTTGTATCATGTATAAAATCCAACTGCTTTGCCAAAAGAAAAGTTATCTTAAAACTATTTATTAACTTCAACTGAGACAAAACCACTCCCTTTGGTGCTGGCCCAGCTTAGTAAAACATGATTATCTACAAGTTCTTTCTACATTTGGATAACTTAATGGTAATAGGGCTGTGCATAGAAGTACCGTATATGTATCTGATGAGAAAACATATTCTTCTTCTAGAAACAGCATCACCTGCTTGTATTGCTATTCCTTGGATGGCTTCTGCGTTTTCCCCATATCAGTTCTGAATTATATTTGTGCTGACATGCTACATTAAATGCACAGCATGGGGCTGATCCCAGCTACTTGGGAGTGTGTGCAGGTGCATGGGATCTCTTCTGGACTGGGAGCAACATGTGCAGGTAGGAGAAGTTTAACCTTCCTGTTCAGCCTCATTCCCCTTACTTTTCCCCTCCCCAAAGGGATTAAAGAAAGGGCAAAGAGAGAGTTTCTCTTGCTTTAACCTATACATGAGGTAATTGGGCAGGGAACACCTTGGTGGAAACAATTACAGCCTCCATCTCTCTGTAATGGTTCCATACTACAAGATGGGATCTGCTACAGGCTAAGTACATAATGAAGCATGTAGTTTAGCCCTGAGGAACATACTGCCTGTGTACTTATAGTTGGATTAGGAGAAATGTGTATCCTTGGGTGGATGCATTTCATGGGGCAAAAAATGCTGCCTATTTGAATAAGAATTATTGCACATTTAGATATGATTGGAACATAATAAAACCCATGTAGAAAGCAATGCTTTCAGAGGAGTAGTTGCAGAGATGGCATTTTTGAGGTCCGAGGCCCAAGCAGGGCTGTGCTGGTATGTTAAGGCCCCAGAGATAATGGATATAGGTCCAGTTCTATGTATGAAGCCATCTACTTTGCATGTTTTTCTGGCATGTCTGGCATCATGTTTTAAGTAGGTCAAAGACTGACTGCTTGAAATATCACAAGAGCCTCCATTACTACAAAGTCAAGGTTACCATGTGCTAGCAGAGAAGACAGGCAATGTCATGGTCTAGACAAAAATACTGCAAATACTGCAATTTCAACAAGCTTAACTCAAGTTGAGCACTGTCCCAATTTGGAGCGTCAAATTTTAGTAACAAGAGGAATGGTCTTTTAGAAATTTGCATTAGCTTTCCAGGGCACCAACTGCAGAGTAAAAAGGTGTAACAAATGGCATGTTAACATTCAGCAGGCCCAAACTGGCATGCTGCACTTACTGGACTTTTAAAAAACCAGAAAATGGATTCATTATTCATTACCTTTGATGCCAGAGAGAGCCTTTCCTCAAATAATTTGCTTCAGCTACCTCCATTAAACTTGAAATGGGTGCAGGTTTCTTTTTTGGCACTTGAAGCTCCACATTGCACAACACAAATTATGTTACATGAAAATACTGTCCCAAATATAGAACTGGCAATACCTTGGGGAAGGCTGCTTTGGAAATTCAACCACCGCAACACAGTTTTAGAGACCTTAAAAATCTGAGAATCTCTACCTTGTATACTCCTTTTCAAACTCTAAGTTCCAATGATAGTTTATCCTACAGGTCAAAGTTTTCTGCTTGTCAGGGGTGGGGAGCATGAGGGACAGAAACTTGCCTGTGCAGTTTTGTCCTGTTCAGAACTGTGTCACCTGCATGTTGAGCATGAGAGTCGACGCTAAGCCACACTACTGTAGTGCAACTGCTTTGTTACACGTGTTGCAATCACTGGACCTTTCTGAGGTAACTTTCAGCTGAAAAGCAACTGGATGGGGCCTCCTTGAACAGGGCCAAGGTGATGCTGGCCATTCTTAATGGCAGCCACTTAAGATTGCCAAGGTCTGTGCAGGCTCTGGCAACAGAAAGGTTTTCCACTTCCAGTGCAGAATTCCAATTCCAATGGGGATGGATTAGTTTTACACAGCAGTTCAAAACAAAGATTATATCTAATAATGTTGTTAACTGATGTTGGATGACTGACCACACCAGAGGCTTATGTTCAAGTTTATAAAGGCTCCAGGTTTCAACCCCATGTTGCAATAATTGCCAATAAGTTTACCAGTTGTATGTCTGGTTGTATATGGTAGAATATGAGAAAAGGACGGTTTTGGTGCAAATCCAGTATGAAAAAGAAGAACAACTTAAATCTTCAAAATAATTTTGGTTTTATTATTGAGTATCATTTGTAAATGAAAGACTTTACATTTAAAAGATGCGTGATCTATGATTAGCACATGGATATAACAAATGATTTTCATTATTTACACACGTCTATATGTTTACATATTTAAATTTCACCCAGACTACAATGATAAGTTTTGTATAATTACTTGGGCACCCAGTGGATCAGTTAATAAAAACAGATTAAGAATTCTATTTTTTCCCAATTTATAAAATGGGAATAGCTCTAAAACAGTAAAAAAGAGAGATCAGAACAATCTAGCATATTCTAGATCAGAAACATTTTTGTTTGCAGATACAGTGAAATATTTATTTTCAGGGCTTTTTTTGTCATCGAACGCACCAGAACAGCGTTCCGGCACCTTTTATTCCAATGGATTTTACGAAGTAATTTTGAATCGTAGCAGATCAGCGGCAAACATCATTAACACAGTGCCTGCGGGCTGCTTTTGTGTCCGCTATCTGATTGTGAGATAGTGAGGGCGCTGCTCTCGGCTTGGGACGCTCTGCTGTGTGTGTGGTCGCGCACTTACTGCCAGCGACGTGCGTTCTGGCACCCTTTTTTTTTTTTTTTTTTTACAAAAAAAGCACTGTTTATTTTTATTTGGTTTCATTCAGATTTGTTCCTCTTTTCTTCTTCACAGAAAAGGCCAAGCTCTCCCAAAAGCTTCCCACTGGGGGAAGTGGGTGCAAGACATTTTAGCTGATTCCCCACTTTCTCTTGCACGACCTCTAGTGCTTCAGAGGCCTTTTGGGGGCACAAGGAGCTGCTTTGGGGAGCAGCAACTGACAGAAATCACATCCCCTCCCTTCAGTCAGCATGGGAGGAACTGTACTGCTTGACTAATAATTCACTCCTTTAATAATAATAATAATAATAATAATAATAATAATAATAATAATAGTAATGCTACCTAAACCAATCCCTGGAAAATAACACTTGAATAATAACAATACTCAAATAATAGTAGCTAATAATAATAATATAAAATAGTAATTGTTATACTAATTGAAAATCTAACATTAACTTGAATAATCTAGCACCTTGTTGATAATTTTGACATTGGTTAAGTTCTGTTAACACCATCAAATGCAGATAGACCGCAGTGAAAAGCTGTTGCTGCTGCTGCTGTTGTTTTGGTCAATTGTAGTTAGAAATATATTTTACCCTGCTTTGCTAAGGGTATTCGCTTTCATGAAAGCTTACAAAGAGCATCTTAGCCCCTGCCCCACAGGAGCTGTGGAGGTGGAGGCTTGAATGCATTTCTGATTATGGACTTGGAAAAATGATCTAGACCTAAATGCCATCTCAGCTTGGCTCTCTATTTACTTCAATTATTTACACAGAATTCCATCAAATCTACCAGATTAAAAAGTATCCAAGTCAACACGGATCACTGAACAATGCTTACAATTTCAGTAGTATACCGAGATCCTATCCTATGGACACGAAGTACCTATTCATCTTATTCATGGAACTTCTCTGTCTTCCTAATACCTCCCAGCTCTTCCCTTGCAACCCAGGGCTGAAGTTCAGCGTCAAGCACATTTATTCATGCACTCCAGCAGCTCCATCCTGATTGCGATGCGTACATGCCAACCAAGAGGAATTAATCGAATGTAGCGGGAGACAATGGGTGGGCGCAGGAGGTTCTGCACAGAAGATGTTCTGTCTGAATTTCCATAGAAAACCTACAGAAAACCGAGGGTGAGTGGGAGGGGAGGTGGAAATAAAAAAGAGAGACTTCATCATGCAAGAACCTATGATAAGATTCATTTTATTTTGGATTCAGTAAAAACAAATTTATGGACTTAAATGACTTTGTGTGACTAATTTGTCAAGCAGTGCTACTGACAGTTGCTACCTCTAGAAGCAAATTACTTCCAATTACATGGTGCACGTTCCTAAATTCAGTTCAGAGGGATAAACCCATCTCCATAGCTAAATTATGTATATGTAATAGTAGGATGGTAAAGTGTATAATCTCATCCCTGTACGAAGCATGCAAATCAAACATATGACATACCTTATTTAGTATAAATAAGAAGTAAATGCTGCAGATATATCAGTTCTGAAAGAGTATAAACATTATTTATAAATGAAAATTTCCCTTTGTTATTCTTCTCAGTTTTCACCTTTAAGATCATATGCATATTTGGCTCCAATATATTCAAATCAATGCAAACATAAATACTCTCTCCTCCCCACACCCTAGTAATCTCTGAACCAGTAATATGTCTAGGCTTTATACGATATGCTAAAAATTGTGTTTAGATATGTGTGTGTGTATGTGTGTTGTATGCTTATATTTTTGGATGTATATGGTTTTTGAAATGCATTCTTTTAAGGCTTTAATCCTTGTAAACTACCCAGAGTGCTTTGGCTATTGGACAGTATAGAATTTGAATGCTAATATAGCACAGTAATAGCTAAAACAACTGTCACAATCAGACAGTTTGTGATTAGCTGGTAGTTAGTCCAAAAATCCCATCCTAGGAAAATTCACACTCTGAACTCTAATTTCCTAATTCCAAACATTTGGTTAACACAATATTTAATACAGACTGTGCCCTTGCACTTGGGAAATCCATGGATCCAATCAGTTCTACTTGCAAGAAGCTAGTTGCATGTGGCAATTTAAGGCACTAGATAAGTGCATATTTCCTCCCAGGCACACAGAGCTTATTCAAGGGATTAAATGAGCATTGTGATGGGACTGGAAATGCACACTTCCAGGAGCATGTCTGCGCCAGCCTTCCCTAACATGATACTCTCCAGATGTTTTGGACTTCAACCTCTAACATAGTCAATAGCAGGAACACAAGGTTTGACATACAAAACATCTGGAAGTCACCAAGCTTGCTTACACCTACAACATTTATTTAAAAGATTCATATACCACCCCTCAGCAGAGGTCCAGGAGAGGTTTACAAAAGCAACAGCAGAAGGCCACTTCTGTATATGTACATTTCTTGCTCAATCAAACAAAATGTATAGTGATTATTGACTCAAATATAGTTACTAATTTTTCCACAGAATTAATAAATACTAAGTTTTTATCTTAATAATGCTTTTCATCTTGACACTGAATTTCTCTTCATTAATAACAGATGCAAATACTGTGGCAGCTTCCCAAAATGCATCTCAAACTAACCCTGTTGTTTCCTGTCTGGTCTTTGTAATAAACCCAGTTCAGGTTCTCATCAGTCCTGTACTGCACACTGTATTTTGTCATCCATTCATCTGCATCACACCGTCCTTGCGTGAGTATCCCCGAAATAACTTTGATTTCCTTCAAGTCAATCTGTAGCCACTGGTTAGTGTCTTGGTACTTGGAGAGCCAGGCACACCTGTTCAGAATGACAGGAGAAAGGACATACAAGATCAGGAACATATCTTTTATAAAGCAAATGCTAGTGGGTGGATGAGATGGGGCTTATTCTAGGACGTGGAAACCATTTATTTCACTCAGCAATGCACTAATGCACTCAGCAATGTTGGATTTAAATCAAGGTAGGTTAGAGGGAGGGCCAGCCCTACCATTAGGCAGAGTGAAGCCATCAGCTGAGGCAGCCCATGCTGCAAGCTGGCAGCAAAGTGTAGGAGAAGAGACCTGTGTGCCATAAGGCCTTCCCTGCATGCCCTTTATTAGTCTGCTCCTTTCAGGTACAATGGAGGATGCTGCCCCATTACTGAAGACAGCACTGAAGACAGATTCATCTGCCAGTCCAGGTAGGCTGAATGGTCAAGGTGCCACCTTGTTCTTCATATCAGGCAAACAACCCTGGTTAGTCATGTTAAAATGCAGGCCAAATCCAGCACACCTGGAGTCTCCATTCGGCCTGTGCAGATGGTAATGCCCCTTTCCTCCTACCACAGTCTGGGGGTTCCCTGCCTTTTGCGTGGTCATTTTCCTATTCTAATAGATCAGAATGTTTCTGTTGGGAACTGGTTTCTGGCAGAAAGAGTTTCAAACGAAAAGATGCTAGTATTTTTTGCATGCTTGGCCCCATGCATTATTGGAATGCAGTCCCAGAGGGTCGCTTTGCAACTGAATTTGACCCTCAATTGAAAGAGGATCCTGATTTAAGTTCACTAAAGAAAGAATGTTAGGAGGCCAATATCGTTGTATTTATTGAGCCATTGTTGTAAGCCGCCCAAAGACACGTAGTGACAGGTTAGAAATATCCCAAATAAATAAATTAAATAGGGAGAGTGACAAAGAGATGATTCAGGTGGGGGTGATGTAGAAAAGGGATGAAAAAGATTGAGGGCAATGCATCCAGCTCAGAGAAACAGCAAAAAGGACATGTAAAAGCGCTGAACAAGCTTTTCTTCAAACAAACAGGATTTGGTTTACATAACTTCCATAAGAGGGCCAGTGTGGTGCAGTGGTTAAGAATGCAGAAAAGGGACTCTGGAAACCTGGGTTCCAGTCCCCACTTGGCCACGGTGCTAACTGTGTGACTTTGGACCAGTCACAGATTTTCAGCCCAACCTACCTCACAGGGTTGTTGTTGTGAGGAAACAATTAAGAGGAGAGTTATGTGAGCTGCCTTGAGTTCCTTGAAAGGAAAAGGGGCAGGATATAAATATAGCAAACCAATCAATACGTTCTGACTGCCTCTTTGTGGGCAGGAATGCTAGGATACCATGCAGCTTACCCGAAGCCTTGCCCATTCAGACGGGCCTTGTTTGCAGTCCATGAAGTATACCATCCGGTGTACTGCTCTGGGCTGGAGCAGCTTATCTGGTCTGAAGTAACCGCTCCGGACTCAAAGCCAAGGGGCTTGTGATATGGACATTCTATAACAAACAAAGAAAAGCCCAATAAAAGGACACATTCTGTGAGGCAGGGGTTGATCTTTCGGGCTTGGGAAAGTATGCCCCTTGCTTGCTTCCCCCCCCCTTGTGGGAGGGGGAAGAACGGAGCATGTGGCTTGGCTCAAAGACCTGAGTGCACATGGTGCACAATTCCTGGGTTGTCATGTTATAGAGACTCAGTTTCACTAGGGCAGGGTGGCTTAATAGTATGAACAAGCCATCCCTGACAAGCCATGGTCTTGTTATCATACCCACAATGGGTTGTCCTGTTATCCAAACCCTTTATGGCTTGTTAAGAAACACTGCCACGTCTTTGGGCAAGACAGTGCAAATGCTGCTGCTCTCCTCAATACAGATTTGTTTCCCAAACTCAGCTTAGTGTGCACACTCTGTGCCATGTCGTCCATGAAACAACTCTCACCGCTGAAAGAGCTGAGAAAGCAGGCCCAGCGGTATTCAGCAAGCTCTGCCCCCAACCTCCATTTGTCAATGGAGAGGGAATACCAGAGTGGAAAAGGCTGGTGCTCAATAACTCTCACTAGCCCAGCTCCACCTTCGTTCCTCTAGCAAGTAGCGCTCTTTCCGTTTCTGTTTGTTTCTGGACCAAAGCAGACAGACATCACTTTACTCATATGTCCTCCCAAAGAAAAGCAGATTTGTTTCTTTGTGTTTCAGAACTACTGTTTTCAATACTTGTCTGTGAAAGGGGGACAGGAGGGATTTCATACAATGATTTTCAGAAGGACAGAGACTGTTGTAGACTGTTGTGGTTACGTATAGCCTAGCTTTGTCCAGCATCACTGAACAGGACACTCTGGCTTGTACATAAACAAATCTGTGAACAACAAAAGCCCATTGATGCTGCTGCTTGTAAATTCTCAACAAATAGTAAAGATTGATTCAAGTGCCACTGTTACTTATTCCTTCCCTTTCCTGGGGCACTTTATCTCTGCTTTCACCCTGTAGTACCCTGCTTTTATTTTCTATTTAAAATATGATGTTTGTGTCATTTAACCACCTGAAAAGAGTCTAAGGAAAGGTGCGCACAATTGTCTTCAGAATGCAGGAAGCCCCTGTCATTGTGGTGTCTGGCTGTGCCCATATGGAGCCGTTGCTGGCACAAAATACCATGTCCATTTTGATACTACATGATACAAACTGCAGCAATTTCTTTGCCTTTGGCATATTGTGAAGTCATTGAATCGTGGAAATTGCATCAACAGCATGAGCAGAAGTGTTCCAGCAATGAAAGGTAAAAATGGGCTCAGATATCTCCAGTGTGGCAGGTGGCAATGTTTACTAGAAATAAGTTTTATTTTTAGTGACTCTAATCTTTGGTTGTAATGTACTTAAGAGGTAACCTTCTGTTCAAGAAAACAGTCATAGAGAATGGAATTACCAGACAGATGTCTGGCAACTGTTAGACCAAATCAGTTAAATTATTTAATGCTGTTAAACCACTGACCTTAAAAAATATGTGTGTACTGGGCATTAAAAAGGCTTTCCCTGCAAGATAATGTGTTACAATACAACTGTGTATCTTTTATCCATAATATGGATCTCCTGGCACTTGAAGGTGAAAACTGTTTCTTGATATACCTACAGTTTAATTTAAGTTATTTTGCAAGCAGGACAACATTCCATAGTCAGCAGTAAAAAAAAAATCCTGCTACATTTAATATAGGACAAATTCTGTAAATATTGGAGGCAAGTAACTGTAACTGAGCAGCTTCACACTTACCAGCTAACTGTGGGTTAAACAATCCGTAGTTAGCTATGGTTGTGACAGAGCAAGCGGCTCTGCTACCTGCTGTGTGCTTGCTTCTTCTTTACATTTGGCTTTGTAAGTATGCAAACATTGCTGTGACATGGGAACCTGACACCCTTGGTTGATTAGGATTAAACAATGCAGAGTTTTAACGCGATGACAACCCATGGTTAAACTCTTGAGTGAAACAGAGTCCTCTGGAATGGCTAAACTGGGCCATAAGTCAAAAGAAAGTAAAGTGAAAGTCCTTACCTGGCATACATTCCAGACTGTTTGTTCCAGTCGACCATACTGAGTTGGGACTTCCCTGGCAGTCACACTTGCAGGCTTTGCTGTGCCAGTGCTCCAGCCTGTCATCCTAACAGAATGCAGAAGGGACCATCAGCCTGGCGCGGGCATGCAGTGGCAAACACGGCATCACTGCATAGCCCAGCGCCATGGGTAGGGAGGCAGAGAACCAGCGAGTAAACGGATTCGGTTTTATTTGAATCTCTGCCCGTACCCACGGCTTTGGGCTGCTCAGTGATGCCACGTCTGCCACCATCTTTGGCAAGGTGGCACTTTTCATGGAGACGTATCACAGCTCAAAAGGGAATGAAAGCATGCAGAAGATGCAATGCCATGGTCTGCGATATATAAGGAATTGCGGGGAGCACAGAGAATTTAAGCATGCTGCATCCCATTAGACCAAGTAGAATAGTCAGTCAAAGCTTCTGGATCACCTTGAGCTAAAAGTAGCCAAACCAGTTGTTGGGGATTCTAGCCATTTAAGAGCTAACCTGAGGATACAGAGGGAAGTCCCCAGTTCACCTGTCACCTGAAACATGAACTCACTAAAAGAGCTTTAGGCAAGCCACTAATGTAACAGTATATACTTCAGCAGAACAGAAGGGACAAACAGGCTGAGGCTTTGTGTAAGCAGTTTTCCCTACATCCTGAAGAACTCTCTATGAATGCTAAGTATTATATTGCCTATTATATTGCCTCTTCCCTGTTGTACGTCCAATAAACCACTTCTCTAGCACATCTGTGTCAAAGGCTAGTCCAATTTAAACAAAAAACAACTCCTGAAAACCGCATGTTTCTTGCAGGTTCTGAGATTCTTGAACTCTGGAAAATTATGATCCCTTGATTTTGGAGAAAACACCTTAGGTAGCTGGTTTATTCTTGCTATCTATGTGTTCATAGTTTACACAAGAGGAGAATGAGTGAATGGGGCTTCAGAGCAGTAGGGAAAGGGCAATAGGCAACATGACACAAACAACTCAGTCATTTATGCACTGACACTCATTTTGCAGACATTGTACAGTAATTATGGGGAAAAGAGTCAAATGCATTCCACAAAGAGAAATGCCCACCAAATGTTTTGAACTACAGTTTCTGTCCACCTCAGCCAACATAGCCAATGGTCAGGGACTGTAGAAGCTACAATCTAAAGCATCTGTAAAACACCAGGTTACCTACTCCTGGGCATCAGGAAGAAAAATATTTTTAGATTTGCTAAAAACCTAAGCCTGAAAAAAGCCTGAAGAAGGCTAGCCTTCCCACAAAAAAAAAAAAAAAACCATGAAAAAGACAATGAAATAGATCCAAATATTGCTACACTGTTTGTAACAAGCAGATGAATATGGAATTTGTGGAATTGCACTTAAGAGGGATACAATCCAAAATTCAAATCAGGAAGCCGAACTGGAGGGAATTTGCTAAATTAGCTTTTTCACCTGCCCTAAAACTGTCATCTGATGACCAGAGATGAGAATCAGCATGCAGGGGAACCTGGAGAAAGCAAGCTAACTAAAATAGCCACATATGAATATGGGGGAGGGGGTGAAGTAGGGCACTATTGAGCAGCGATTCCTAGATAAAAGGTCCAGTTGGTCTCTGTCAATATATAAAACTGTGCTATGTTTACATTGCAAACCAGTGTCTGGCTGGGAATGATAGAAATTGCAGTCCAACATATCTGGAAGGCCCTACTCTGGTGGAAGGTCACTTTGAAGAATAGTCTTCATTCAATATTCAGTCTTATTAAATATTGTTAAATACTTGTTTAAAGTTATTGTTTAAATAAAGTCCATAGTGTATGTGTGTAAATAAAACTGTATATCCTGAAACTGTGTTAATGTTGGTTGGATATGTTGTTAAATGTTTACCATAAATCACCCAGAGACCAATCAAGCTGAAAGCATAAATATGAATGCCATACACTCCTCAGAGCGCACTAGAAAAGTAAGCTCCAGAGGTATTTGAACTGCCTGCAAAAGAAATGTAAAGGACTCACCTCTGCAGGTGACAATGCCAGAGTAGCTGCTCAGGAAAGATAACCCAGCGTGAGAGAGAAATAAGACGAGAGTTAACACAGTGGCTTGGAGTTATTGAAGTGAATGGTAAAAGGTATGAATATGAATTATAGGGTCACTCCTTTAGCACCAAGCATTGCAATATGTTGGATGCCCAACTGTGGGCACAGACCAAAATAGAGAACAGCGTGTATTTTACACAAGCTGTTTCCAGAGAATTGAACAGAGGTGGACAACTTTCGGCACTCCACGTTTGTGCCGATGACGACAAACATCCCATACCATTAGATGGGGTAGTGGGAGTTGTAGGCCAAAAGATCTAGAGGGCCACAAGTTGCCACTCCTGTACATAGGGTACAATCCAAATTTCTAGTGACAGTCAAATCTGGATTGTAAATGTTCTGCTTGTTGCTGCTGCTGCTTGGCTTAGTTTTCTTACCAATCTCTTTCTAGAATTGAAGAGTTGCCCCGATCAAGCAATTCCTCAAGGATGCTAGAGTTCCAATACATACACAGAGCTCTCCTGACAGGCAAGTGGGGCTTCCTTGTTTTTATCAATGAGAATTGATATTCCCACCAACACACAGGAGTGAATGGAAAAAACACACACAGTAGGACTTAAAACATCAAGAACTAATAAGAGGGAACATGGCACAAATGAATTCAAGACCCAGTCAGCATAACTGCTTGCCCATGACTACTGGAGGACACTGATGATTCAGGTAGTGGCCACTGATGATACCACTGAATAACTGTGAAGGTCTGAAGTAAGATTGTTTATGCAATTTGTCAGTCTGAGGTTGGGTCTAGGATCTGCTCCCACAAGAAGGACACCCCCATTCATAGATCACTCTCCTTGCTTTTTGGAGAACTCCTCTTTCTCCTGTCTGTCTACAGCTCATTCCACTTGGCAGGAACTCTTAACTCTCAACTCATGAAAAATAGCATTTCCCAGAGGCTTGAGGGAATAGGAGGATGGCACAGAGAAGTCCATGTTGATCTAGTGTTACTCTGGATCCAACCTCACGTAATCTGCCTCTCTGTTGACTTCTTAGCCAACTTGGAACTTCATTTGATTTCCATCTACCATACTTACCCTACAGTTCTTCTAAGTCTATTTATTGCATTTCCCTTGGTTGTTATCTACCATATGATTTATATGACCTTTGACAAACTATCAAACTATTTTCAAAATAATTAGTTACTGTTTCGCTGAGTCTAGCTCACAGCAACTAATCTAAAACTCAGCTTCAGACTCAGTGAGCTCTGACAATCAGCAAGTGCACAATGAACACCATTTTGAGTATTCATTTTGAGTTATGAAAATGTCCAGGTTGATTGAAGGTGTTCAATAAATAATCAACATAAAGCTTGTTGAAGAGTTATCACTTCCAGAAACACTGCAGGTAACCTTGGTTCAACTTTACAGTCATCACCTTGCTAAATGCTGTTGAATTTTATGTCTCTGTGTGAACTGATGCATACACTTTATTGTGAAATCTGTTGACTGGATAAATTCTGAATTACTTATCACTTGGTTGCTGTAAAAGTCAGTACATCAGGAAGGAAGTGGGGGGACAGTACATTATTTCCACTGGCATGTATAGCAATTCACAGCTCTTGCTGGCTAATGCTACTGTTCCCCACCATTTTTCTTCCCCAGGTGACTCCCAGTTAACCAGGAACCACATACAGAAAGTGATGTCACAATACCATGGGCAGTTGGAACTACCCGCTCAGGGGCTAGACTGGAGAAATAAGATAATGCATTCTTATTGATAGCTTTGATTTGGGTGTGTCTCATTTTGTGTCTGTGTGTGGAGGGGGTTCCACTGAAGGAAGCTGAAACTTGTACCGGTTTGTCAATAGGTACACTTGACTTAGTTTCATCCTGATGGAGTCAGGAGTTTCCTGCTACTATTCTCTTCTCGTTAAAGATAGCCAATAAAGCTCTTGCCTCACATTGTGGCAATTGTGTCTTAGTCTTCAAAGATATTTGAGATATTCCTCTGTTGAACCCAGAATGAGAAGCCTCTGTAGGTCCTTTTTATCTTCCCAGTATTTTAATTGTTAATTGGGCTTAACTGTGGTTTTTTATCGCTGGATGCTGTACCATTTTATTTTATTTGCGCTTGTTGTAAACCGTCCTGAGACACAAGTAATGAGTCAGTATATAAAAGCTTTAAATAAATAAATAAATAAATAAATAGGGGAGCCAACTCATGATTGCCCCCTTCTGTCTCCAGAAAACCACAGCTGCATAAATGGAGGCAGAGTTCAAATGGAGACTTCTACCTTGAGAGAAAGAATTCCTGTGATGAAAGTTGCTTCAGTGAAAAGAGTTAAACCAGGCACCTTCTCTATGATCAAAACTGATCACTGTTCGGTGGCATAAATAAGTTAGATCCAGCAGCAGAACCAAATGCATGTTCCAATCACAAGTCAGAGTAATTAGCCAAAGGAAGCAGACAATGGGCAAATGAAAGCTTTCTCAGCCAATTTGGTTTCCTTTGGCCAGCTGCTTTTCCATGCAAAGAGCAGAAATGTGAATGGAGAGGATAAATGCTTAAATTACCCCCGAATCTGATAAAAGGGAGTCAGGACCTGAGAAGAGGCTAATTTGGTGTTGCAAGATTATGTATTTAGCATTGATGGCCCTGTCAGTTTACCATCTAGAGGACATGCCTCAATTAGACTTTGAAATATAGGTCAGATGCTCCAGCCTGTGTAATTTATAATGGCCTCGCTAGCACAGTATAGCCCTACGGGGAAATGGTCTTAAATACCCTTTGTCTCCTGACCTCTAGAATGTTTGTCTGACACCAATTAACTAATAAATATACATGAACTGAAACTGAAATGCTGTAACAAACTTGTTTTTACTTACATTTCAAGTAACAATTCTGCTTTACATATTACTTTTCCCTTTCAAAAAAAACCTCCCTTTATCATGATTATTAATAAATCTCCTCCTATGGGTTGGATTACAATATTTAGTTGTACTTGAGTAGACCCACTGAAATAAATGGGACTTGTTGGTCATATCTAGCTGAAATGCCACCAACTTCAATTAGTCTTCCTGAAGTGTAACAAAGTCTGTACCCAGCCCAATGTCATAGTGCCAATTAATGAGGCCATAAGTTTAAACATACTCACAAATCATGTACAATCTAGCAAATGATTATGCATTATATTGATTGCCATACCAGTACTGCATGATCAACCATCATTTCTCTATCAAGCTTCATGACAACACTACTCTACACTG